TCAATTAGAATAATTTTATATTAATCTTCTAGTTGAGTTGGTAACAATTGGTACAGATGTCTTGGGGTTCGGCCGACATTTTAATATTTTCCATTGATTGCTTATTGTTAACACACTATAAAAAATAACCTTTAGTCAACAGTTGTATTTTTTATTTTCATGGGTTAGTTCTACATGTTTTAATAATTCATTTGGTTTCTTAAAAAGAGCCTGTTTATTTACCAACAATAAAAGAGATTTTTTCTTAGCTCACAAGGGAATGTAGCTTGTAGAGTATCTTGTTAAATTAGCTTTCATCATTCTAGAAAAATAACATCGTCTGGTTTACAATATTGTATCTATTTACACCTGATCGTATACGGCGTCTGGGTGCCGTCTATGGTTCTTAATCTGCGGGTCATGACTCTTAATACGGGCGCTTCTTAACTTTCGCTTTTCCCATAACTTCGAACTTAGCGTATGTCATCCTAATTGGTTGAGTTGAGTAAAAACAAAACCAAACCTGAAAACCATTACCTCTCCTTTCTTTTTTTACTCTTTTTCTTCATTTCCCCGTGAAAAGAGGGTGTATTTTGTTTTTAAATCTCAATAAATAGTCTACTCACCAGTTATTGACTAACGCCTAATGAGATGCGTTGATTACCAAGAATTTCGTTTGCAGTAATCAAGGTGAAAGGAGGACATTTTGACGAGGGCAAAATTTAATCATAAAATGCTTCCTTTTGCTTTTTACCATAATAAAATTTCTTATAAAAAAATCATGTCTCACTTTTTAACCATGTATTATAATTTTCTCTTATATCTTATATATATGAGATAACGACACACACAAACACACACACACACATATATATATATATATATACTCTAATATATATTAGAGTGTGCAGCGTATATTTTATATCACAAAGAAACAATTTATAAAGAATTAAATAGCAATGTTAATGTGATTAATGGAGAAATCACTTCGCTAACAGGGCTTAATGAGACATTAACTTAGTATCAATTTCTAAGATCCTTATATTCGAATTGTTGTCAAATGGATATGCAAATACCAAGTGCTTTCGACAATTTCAAATTGTCATCTTCAGGGCACCAATTTTCCTATACATAGGCAAACACTAAGACGAAATATGTGTAGAGCGAAAGATGCTATTTATTTACAGTTGAATATGTTTTTGGAGTGTGTGATGTTGTTCTTTGGTTGATTTTGTTTCGTGGCATATCAACATCTCTATGGGTTATTTAATGCCAGAATCTAAATATTCTGAACACAATTCAGAAACAGAAAATATACTATTGGTCATTTTGGAATAAAATGTATTGCTGGTAATTTTACTTTTACTATCAATGTGGACTGTTGCTAAAATAATTTATATAAAATGTATTGCTGTTATTTTTAATATAACAATGTATTTTTATACTTTCATAGTATTTTGTTTTTGCTTGAGGTGTTCACTATTTGCCCATAGCTGGGACCCTAACAGGTGCTACCGCCCCGTCTCAAGGAGGACCTGCTAACAACAGCAATTAAGAGGGGGTTCCACTTTCCTCAAAATCTCCAATCTTCCGCTCAGTGGTCTTGTAGTTTATCGTCATACCCAGAACTAGATACTTTTGTATAACTTTTTCATTTCGCGATTAGAAATAAGATATATGTACATAAAGTGTGTATATATATATATATATATATATATATATATATATATACTTTATGTACACACACACACACACACACACACACACACACACACACATACACATATTTATAGTTGGTTGGATTGATGTGAGTTTGTGACCCTGAGTTTCACGCTTTTGCGATCGTCAGACAAACTCTATCTCTGATATTGAGCGCTTTCTAATAAGTACCGCGCATATAATATATAAATAATACTATATATAATACATTGTATTATATATAAATATATATATATATATATATATATATATATATATATATTAAGCGCACAATATCAGAATAGAGCTAACATATTTGGTTGAATTGATGTGAGTTTGTGACCCTGACGTTTCACGCTTTTGCGATCGTCAGACAAACTCTATCTCTGATATTGAGCGCTTTCTAATAAGTACCCGCATATAATATATAAATAATACTATATATAATACATTGTATTATATATATATATATATATATATATATATATATATATATATATATATATATATATATATATATTAAGCGCACAATATCAGAGATAGAGCTAATATATTTAGTTGGATTGATGTGAGTTTTGTGACCTTGGGTTTCACGCTTTTGCAACCCGCAAAAGCGTGAAACAAGTCCTAAAACACATCAATCATATATATATATATATATATATATATATATATATATAGCACACATACACTTTTCACACTCACTCATACATTCATACATACATATATATATATATATATATATATATATATATATATATATATATTGTAGTCGACATTTTTAGAAGAGGGTAATTTTGGTGATATCGTGTTTGTAAGTTTGATGATTTCTTTGAGTTATGACAGGCATGCAGTATTTATTTCTATGTCTACGTTGTCTCTCTCAATCTCACCCCATATATATATATATATATATATATATATATATATATGGTAGGTGGATAGTCTTCATTTTCAACGTGTTAATATAGCACGCTCTTGTGCCAAAACTTCTTCCCAGTGACCTTTCTTGCTTTCTCCCCGAAGCGAGACATTGATACATTGCGAAGGGTATCTCTAAATTCTGATCGTCCGACAGATTCTTTTTCGACTTCTACAATCAGCCAGAAAAATCATTTGCTTCTATTCCCGGCTGTCCAGACTTTGGCCATCTGTCTTCTCAGAACTTGTCGCCTCGCCCTTCCTTTTTTTTCTTTCTTTTTTTCTCTTTCTTCCTTGAACTGGCTTTTCGCCCTTCCATTAAAATACGAACAACATTCCCCAAGGGAAATCATTCAATTTACATCTTGTACATTAACCTACATCAGGTGTTCTAGTAATTGTTGTGTGTAACTGAACCTCGAGAAACGATTAAGAATTCAATATAAAATACATAGACCGGAAGCACATTTTCCAAACAGGAAGTGACTGGCTCGCAACGACTAATCATTCTTTCGTGTCAGAATTCAACGTAATCTTTTGCTTTCTTCGTTTCCCCTTCTCTCTCAAACAGAAACTTTCTCCGTCTCTCTCCCTGTATCTCCTCTCTCTCTCATCCTATCTGTGTATATTTGTCGCCTTATTTCTTCCTCTCTCTATCTTAGTCTCTCTATCCTACTCTATCTTCCCTCTCTCTCACCTTTTCTCTCTCTGTATAACCTTACCTCTCACTCTCTCTGTACATATTTATATCCCTTCCTCATATATCTTCCTCATTCCTCCCTCTCTATATTCCTTCCGTTCCTCGCTCTCACACCATTTCTCCATCTCTCTACACGCCTCTCCCACACTCTCACCCTCTCTGCACCCATCTCTCCCCTATGTCTTTCTCCGTCTCTCTACCCGCCTCTCCCACTCTGATCATCTCTGTACACATCTCTCCCCCTATTTCTTTCTCCGTCTCTCTACCCGCCTCTCCTACTATCTCATCCTTTTTGTACACATCTCTCTCCCTATTTTTTTCTCCGTCTCTCTACCCGCCTCTCCCACTCTCTCATCCTCTCTGTACACATCTCTCCCCCTATTTCTTTCTCCGTCTCTCTACTCGACTCTCCCACTCTCTCATCCTCTCTGTACACATCTCTCCTCCTATGTCTTTCTCCGTCTCTCTACCCGCCTCTCCCACTCCCTCATCCTCTCTGTACACATCTCTCACCCTATGACATTCTCCGTCTCTCTACCCGCCTCTCCCACTCTCTCACCCTCTCTGTACACATCTCTCCTCCTATGTCTTTCTCCGTCTCTCTACCCGCCTCTCCCACTCTCTCATCCTCTCTGTACACAACTCTCACCCTATGTCTTTTCCGTCTCTCTACCCCGCCTCTCCCTCCTCATCCTCTCTGTACACATCTCTCCTCCTATGTCTTTCTCCGTCTCTCTACCCACCTCTCCCACTCTCTCATCCTCTCTGTACAATTCTCTCCGCCTATGTCTTTCTCCGTCTCTCTACCCGCCTCTCCCACTCACTCATCCTCTCTGTACACATCTCTCACCCTATGTCTTTTTCCGTCTCTCTACCCGCCTCTCCCTCTCTCATCCTCTCTCAACACATCTCTCACCCCTATGTCTTTTCCGTCTCTCTACCCCCCTCTCCCCTCTCTCATCCTCTCTGTACACATCTCTCACCCTATGTCTTTCTCCGTCTCTCTACCCGCCTCTCCCAATCTCTCATCCTCTCTGTACACATCTCTCACCCTATGACTTTTTCCGTCTCTCTACCAGCCTCTCCCACTCTCTATTCCTCTCTGTACATCTCTCACCCTATGTCTTTTGCCTCTCTCTACCCCACCTCTCCCTCTCTCATCCTCTCTGTACACATCTCTCACCCTATGTCTTTTTGCGTCTCTATACCCGCCTCTCCCACTCTCTCATCCTCTCTGTACACATCTCTCACCCTATGACTTTTTCCGTCTCTTATCCCGCCTCTCCCACTCTCTCAACCACTCTGTACAATTCTCTCCGCCTATGTCTTTTTCCGTCTCTCTACCCGCCTCTCCCACTCTCTCATCCTCTCTGTACACATCTCTCACCCTATGTCTTTTTCCGTCTCTCTACCCGCCTCTCAACTCTCACATCCTCTCTGTACACATCTCTCACCCCTATGTCTTTTCCGTCTCTCTACCCCGCCTCTCACACTCTCTCATCCCTCTCTACACATCTCTCTCACCATATGTCTTTCTCCGTCTCTCTACCGCCTCTCCCCTCTCTCTCATGCTCTCTGTACATCTCTCACCCTATGTCTTTTCCGTCTCTCTACCCGCCTCTCCCTCTCTCATCCTCTCTGTACACATCTCTCACCCCTATGGCTTTTGCGTCTCTCTACCCGCCTCCCCCTCTCTCATCCTCTCTGTACATCTCTCACCCTATGTCTTTTTCCGTCTCTCTACCCCGCCTCTCCCCCTCTCTCATCATATCATACACATCTCTCACCCCTATGTCTTTTCCGTCTCTCTACCCCGCCTCTCCCACTCTCTCATCATATCTGTACACATCTCTCACCCCTATGTCTTTTTCCGTCTCTCTACCGCCTCTCCTCTCTCATCCTCTCTGTACACATCTCTCACCCTATGTCTTTCTCCGTCTCTCTACCCCCTCTCTCTCTCTCTCATCCTCTCTACACACATCTCTCCTCCTATGTCTTTCTCCCGTCTCTCTACCCCGCCTCTCCCTCTCTCATCCTCTCTGAACACATCTCTCACCCTATGTCTTTTTCCGTCTCTCTACCCGCCTCTCCCACTCTCTCATCCTCTCTGTAAAAATCTCTCACCCTATGTCTTTCTCCGTCTCTCTACCCGTCTCTCCCACTCTCTCATCCTCTATGTACACATAGCTCACCCTATGTCTATCACCGTCTCTCTACCCGCCTCTCCCACTCTCTCATCCTCTCTGTAAACATGTCTCACCCTATGTCTTTTCCGTCTCTCTACCCCGCCTCTCCCCTCTCTCATCCTATCTACACACATCTCTCACCCTATGTCTTTTCCGTCTCTCTACCCGCCTCTCCCACTCTCTCATCCCTCTCTGTACATCTCTCACCCCTATGTCTTTCTCCGTCTCTCTACCCGCCTCTCCCACTCTCTCATGCTCTCTGTACATCTCTCACCCCTATGTCTTTTTCCGTCTCTCTACCCACCTCTCCCTCTCTCACCCTCTCTGTACACATCTCTCACCCCTATGTCTTTCTCCGTCTCTCTACCTGCCCTCTCCCCTCTCTCATCCTCTCTGTACATCTCTCACCCCTATATCTTTCTCCGTCTCTCTACCCCCTCTCTCAGTATCTCATCCTCTCTGTACATCTCTCTCCTATGTCTTTCTCCGTCTCTCTACCCGCCTCCCACTCTCTCATCGTATCTGTACACATCTCTCTCCCTATGTCTTTCACCGTCTCTCTACCCCCTCTACCACTATCTCATCCTCTCTCTGTACACATCTCTCCCCTATGTCTTTTTCCGTCTCTCTGCCGCCTCTCCCTCTCTCAACCTCTCTGTACACACATCTCTCACCCTATGTCTTTTTCCGTCTCTCTACCCGCCTCTCCCACTCTCTCATCCTCTCTGTACACATCTCTCACCCCTATGTCTTTCTCCGTCTCTCTACCCGTCTCTCCCCTCTCTCATCCTTTCTGCACATCTCTCTCCCTATGTCTTTCACCGTCTCTCTACCCGCCTCTCCCTCTCTCATCCTCTCTGTACTCATCTCTCACCATATGTCTTTTCCATCTCTACCCTGCCTCTCCCCTCTCTCATCCTCTCTGCACACATCCTCTCCCTATTTCTTTCTCCCTCTCTCTACCCGCCTCTCCCACTCTCTAATCCTCTCTGTACACATCTCTCCTCCTATGTCTTTTTCCGTCTCTCTACCCGCCTCTCCCACTCTCTCAACCTCTCTGTACACATCTCTCACCCTATGTCTTTTTCCGTCTCTCTACCCGCCTCTCCCACTCTCTCATCCTCTCTGTACACATCTCTCAGCCTATGGCTTTCTCCGTCTCTCTACACGCCTATCCCACTCTCTCATCCTCTCTGTCCACATCTCTCACCCAATGTCTTTTTCGGTCTCTCTACCCGCTTCTCCCACTCTCTCATCCTCTCTGTACACATCTCTCACACTATGTCTTTCTCCGTCTCTCTACCCGCCTCTCCACACTCTCATCCTCTCTGTACTCATCTCTCACCCTATGTCTTTTTCCGTCTCTCTACCCGCCACTCCCACTCTCTTATCCTCTGTACACATCTCTCACCCTATGTCTTTCTCCGTCTATCTACACGCCTCTCCCACTCCCTTATCCTCTCTGTACACATATCTCACCCTATGTCTTTCTCCGTCTCTCTACCCGCCTCTCCCACTCTCTCATCCTCTCTGCACACATCACTCTCCCTATTTCTTTCTCCCTCTCTCTACCCGCCTCTCCCACTCTCTAATCCTCTCTGTACACATCTCTCCTCCTATGTCTTTCTCCGTCTCTCTACCCGCCTCTCCCACTCTCTCAACCTCTCTGTACACATCTCTCACCCTATGTCTTTCTCAGTCTCTCTACCCGCCTCTCCCACTCTCTCATCCTCTCTGCACACATCTCTCCCTATGTCTTTCTCCGTCTCTCTACCCGCCTCTCCCACTCTCTCATCCTCTCTGTACACATCTCTCACCCTATGTCTTTCTCCGTCTCTCTACCCGCCTCTCCCACTCTCTCATCCTCTCTGCACACATCTCTCTCCCTATGTCTTTCTCCGTCTCTCTACCCGCCTCTCCCACTCTCTCATCCTTTCCGTACACATCTCTCACCCTATGTCATTTCCGTCTCTCTACCCGCCACTCCCACTCTGTCAACCTCTCTGTAGACATCTCTCACCCTATGTCTTTTTCCTTTTCTCTACCCGCCTCTCCCACTCTCTCATCCTCTCTGTACACTTCTCTCACCCTATGTCTTTCTCCGTCTCTCTATCCCCCTCTCCCACTCTCTCATCCTCTCTGTACACATCTCTCACCCTATGTCTTTTTCCGTCTCTCTACCCGCTTCTCCCTCTCTCTCATCCTCGCTGTACACATCTCTCACCCTATGTCTTTCTCCGTCTCTACCCCGCCTCTCCCTCTCTCAACCTCTCTGCACACATCTCCCTATGTCTTTCTCCGTCTCTCTACCCCACCTCCCCTCTCTCATCCCTCTCTGTCCACTCTCTCTCACCTATGTCTTTCTCCGTCTCTCTACCCGCCTCTCCCTCTCTCATCCTCTCTGCACATCTCTCTCCTATGTCTTTCTCCGTCTCTCTACCCACCCTCTCCCTCTCTCATCCTTTCCATACATCTCTCACCTATGTCATTTCGTCTCTCTACCCGCCCTCCCACTCTGTCCAACCTCTCTGTAGACATCTCTCACCCTATGTCTTTTCCTTTTCTCTACCCTCTCCCCTCTCATCCTCTCTGTACACTTCTCTCACCTATGTCTTTCTCCGTCTCTCTATCCCCCTCTCCCTCTCTCATCCTCTCTACACATCTCTCACCCTATGTCTTTTTCCGTCTCTCTACCCTTCTCCCTCTCTCTCATCCTCGCTGTACATCTCTCACCTATGTCTTTCTCCGTCTCTCTACCCGCCTCTCCACTCTCTCTCATCCTCTGTGTACACATCTCTCACCCTATGTCTTTCTCCGTCTCTCTACCCGCCTCTCCCACTCTCTCATCCTCTCTGTACACATGTCTCTCCCTATATCTTTCCCCCTCTCTCTACCCGCCTCTCCCAGTATCTCATCCTCTCTGTACACATCTCTCCTCCTATGTCTTTCTCCGTCTCTCTACCCGCCTCTCCCACTCTCTCATCGTATCTGTACACATCTCTCTCCCTATGTCTTTCACCGTCTCTCTACCCCCCTCTACCACTATCTCATCCTCTCTGTACACATCTCTCACCCTATGTCTTTTTCCGTCTCTCTAGCCGCCTCTCCCACTCTCTCAACCTCTCTGTACACATCTCTCACCCTATGTCTTTTTCCGTTTCTCTACCCGCCTCTCCCACTCTCTCATCCTCTCTGTACACATCTCTCACCCTATGTCTTTCTCCGTCTCTCTACCCGTCTCTCCCACTCTCTCATCCTTTCTGCACACATCTCTCTCCCTATGTCTTTCACCGTCTCTCTACCCGCCTCTCCCACTCTCTCATCCTCTCTGTACTCATCTCTCACCATATGTCTTTTTCCATCTCTCTACCCGCCTCTCCCACTCTCTCATCCTCTCTGCACACATCACTCTCCCTATTTCTTTCTCCCTCTCTCTACCCGCCTCTCCCACTCTCTAATCCTCTCTGTACACATCTCTCCTCCTATGTCTTTCTCCGTCTCTCTACCCGCCTCTCCAACTCTCTCATCCTCTCTGTACACATCTCTCCTCCTATGTCTTTCTCCGTCTCTCTACCCGCCTCTCCCACTCTCTCATCCCTCTGTACTACAACTCTCACCCTATATTTTTTTTCTCCGTCTCTCTCATCCCCCTCTGCATCTCTCTCCATGTCTTCATCCTCTCTACCCGCCTCATCTCTCATCCTCTCTTCTCTCTCCGTCTCTCTCCCCCGCCTCTTCCACTCTCTCATCCTTTCTCTGTACACATCTCACCCTATGTCTTTCTTTCTCTCTCTCTCACCCTCTTCCAATCTCTCATCCTTTCACCCTATGTCTTTGTCTCTACCCGCCTCTCATCTCTCATCCTCCTATGACATCTCTTTTTCTTTTCTCTCTCTCTACCGCCTCCCCTCTCTCTACCTCTCTGTACATCTCTCCCCTATGTCTTTTTCCGTCTCTCTACCCACCTCCCACTTTCTCATCCTCTCTGTAGACATCTCTCACCCTATGTCTTTTCCGTCTCTCTACCCCGCCTCTCCCTCTCTCATCCTCTCTGTACATCTCTCACCCCTATGTCTTTTCTCCGTCTCTCTACCCCCCTCTTCCACACTCTCATCCTCTGTACACATCTCTCACCCTATGTCTTTTTCCGTCTCTCTACCCGCCTCTCCCACTCTCTCAACCTCTCTGTACACATCTCTCACCCTATGTCTTTTTCCGTCTCTCTACCCCCTCTCCCTCTCTCATCCCTATCTGTACATCTCTCACCCCTATGTCTTTCTCCGTCTCTCTACCCCCCTCTCCCACTCTCTCATCCTCTCTGTACACATCTCTCACCCTATGTCTTTTTCCGTCTCTCTACCCGCCTCTCCCGCTCTCTCATCCTCTCTGTACACATCTCTCACCGTATGTCTTTTTCCGTCTCTCTAACCGCCTCTCCCACACTGTCAACCTCCTGTACATCTCTCACCCTATGTCTTTTCCGTCTCTCTACCCGCCCTCTCCCTCTCTCATCCTCTCTGTGCACATCTCTCACCCCTATGTTATTCTCCGTCTCTACCCCCCTCCCTCTCTCATCCTCTCTGTACATCTCTCACCCCTATGTCTTTTTCCGTCTCTCTACCGCCTCTCCCACTCTCTCAACCTCTCTGTACACATCTCTCCTCCTATGTCTTTTTCCGTCTCTCTACCCCTCTCCCCCTCTCTCATCTCTCTGTAAACATCTCTCCCCTATGTGTTTCTCCGTCTCTCTACCCCCCTCTCCCCTCTCTCATCCTCTCTGTACCCATCTCTCACCCCTATGTCTTTTCCGTCTCTCTACCCGCCTCTACCACTATCTCATCCCTCTACACATCTCTCACCTATGTCTTTTTCCGTCTCTCTAGCCCGCCTCTCCCCTCTCTCTCAACCTCTCTACACATCTCTCACCCCTATGTCTTTTTCCGTTTCTCTACCCACCTCTCCCTCTCTCATCCTCTCTGTACACATCTCTCACCCCTATGTCTTTTTCTCTCTCTCTACCCGTCTCTCCCACTCTCTCATCCTTTCTGCACACATCTCTCTCCCTATGTCTTTCACCGTCTCTCTACCCACCTCTCCCCTCTCTCATCCCCTCTCTGTACTCATCTCTCACCATATGTCTTTTTTCCATCTCTCTACCTCTCCCCTCTCCTCTCTCATCCTCTCTTTCTCCATCTCTCTACCCTATTCTCTTTCTCTAATCCTCTCTACCTCTCCTCCTATGTCTTTCTCGTCTCTCTACCCCTCTCTAATCCTCTCTCTCACATCTCTCCTCCCTATGTCTTTCTCCGTCTCTCTACCCCACCTCTCCCCCCTCTCTCATCCCTCTCTGTGCCACATCTCTCACCTATGTCTTTTTCCGTCTCTCTACCCACCTCTCCCACTCTCTCATCCCTCTCTGTACACATCTCTCACCCTATGTCTTTCTCCGTCTCTCTACCCGCCTCTCCCACTTTCTCATCCTCTCTGTAGACATCTCTCACCCTATGTCTTTCTCCGTCTCTCTACTTGCCTCTTCCAATCTCTCATCCTTTCTGTACACATCTCTCACCCTATGTCTTTTTCCGTCTCTCTACCCACCTCTCCCACTCTCTCTACCTCTCTGTACACATCTCTCACCCTATGTCTTTTTCCGTCTCTACCGCCTCTCCCCTCTCTCATCCTCTCTGTACACATCTCTCACCCCTATGTCTTTCTCCGTCTCTCTACCCCCCTCTCCCACTCTCTCCCCCTCTCTGTACACATCTCTCCACCCTATGTCTTTTCCGTCTCTCTACCCGCCTCTCCCTCTCTCATCCTCTCTGTACACATCTCACCCTATGTCTTTTTCCGTCTCTCTCCCCCCTCTTCCCACACTCTCATCCTCTCTGTACACATCTCTCACCCCTATGTCTTTTCCGTCTCTCTACCCCCTCTCCCACTCTCTCATCCCTCTCTGTACATCTCTCACCCTATGTCTTTTTCCGTCTCTCTACCCCTCCTCTCCCCTCTCTCTCCTATCTGTACATCTCTCACCCTATGTCTTTCTCCTCTCTACCCCCTCTCCTCTCTCATCCTCTCTGTACACATCTCTCACCCTATGTCTTTTCCGTCTCTCTACCGCCTCTCCCACTCTCTCATCCTCTCTGTACACATCTCTCACCGTATGTCTTTCCGTCTCTCTCACCGCCCTCTCGTCTCTGTCCCCCTCACACACATCTCTCACCCCTCTTTTCCGTCTCTCTCTCTCTCCCACTCTCTCATCCTCTCTGTACATCTCTCACCCCTGTGTCTTTCTCCGTCTCTCTACCCCCCTCCCTCTCTCATCTCTCTCTGTACACATCTCTCTCACCCTATGTCTTTTTCCGTCTCTCTACCCCCCTCTCCCCTCTCTCAACCTCTCTGTACACATCTCTCCTTTTATGTCTTTTTTCCGTCTCTCTACCGCCTCTCCCTCTCTCTCATCC